ACATTAAGTAACATTTTTCGTTTTGCAAACGGATTTTATGACTGACTGCACCGTTAACACATAAAGTAGTATCTTCTGTATATTTATTTGTCGTCTAAATGCAGAAATTTACACATAAAGTAGTATCTTATGCATGCTTAAAATCATTATTTTCCTACCTGTGCTCTGAATTCCTTCATTTCTTTTTCAATTTATCGTATTTCTGATACGATTTGCGGTTTCGATAGTTTTTACCATTGTTTTTATAATAGCTGGAATGTGATCGGTTTGAACGATGTGAATCACGCGACACAACAATTGGTAATGAGTAATGTAGGCAGGCAGCGATAGAGAGTAACGTAAAATTTTAAATATGAACATGTGTGTCAGCGGCGTAACATAGGTATACTACATGGTTATCTTTATTTTACTAACAAGGATGTGAAGCATAATTATCTTTACTATCCCACACTTAAATTGAAACTTAACTAACTATTTACAAAGAGTCTATTTATATTAGAAATGTTATGTTCCAAACAACTCCAGGCGTGTGAAGAACGAACTCGTAATGCTGGCGCCGTTACGTCGGTGATCTTTAGACGGTTAGGGACAAAGCAAAAACCCTTGCTTCTTCTGTGAACACATGTATAGTCGACGGCACAGATAAATTTGACTATTCCACAATTAAATATCAGTATTAATAATATATCTATATATAATTTACAAAGATACCGCCGACGTTCAGACTTAGAAAACACAGTTGTCAAACTGAAAAAAGTGATGCGTTCAATTCCATTACAGCTAAACGACTATGTACGTTTAGCGAATAGTACCCCTCGAGCATTACTGACCGGAAAACCATAGATGATAATGAAGAAGAGTATATGATAGCAGATGCAGTTTCTCAGGAATCTGTCTTGGGTCCACTACTGTGGAATATCCTATATGATGGAATATTACGCATAGAAATAACGCCTTATATTAATCTCACTGCCTACGCAGATGACTTAGCAATCATAGTCACAGAGAGAACGGAAGAAGGCCTAATAATTTCAGTTAACACTATTCTGGAAAAAATCAGCGAGTGGATAAAACTAAATGATCTTAAACTAGCACTGGAAAAACAAAGGCGGTGTTATCAATTGGTTGGAAAAACTGAGTAGACCAATTACGTTTACAATTAAAGAAGTCTCTAGTTTACCAAAAAATGGTAAAAAGTACCTGGAGGTCACATTAGATAAAAGCTTGTCATATAAGGAACACATAGAGAATGCAGTGACCAAAGCAAAGAAGATTATGGCCTCGTTAATAAGACTAATGCTTAATAAAGGGGGAGCTACGAAAACAAAGAAAAGATTATTGGGAACAGTAATCTACAGAAACGTGGCAGAGAAAATAGGAAACATTAAAAAAAAAAGATGGACGTACTTATACCAAATATTGAAAATGGAATAAACGGAAACCAGGAAACGTCACATTTCATATTACTCAATGTCTAACTGGTCACGGCTGGTTTATGGAATTCCTAAATAGACTAGGCTAAGCTTGTCCGGGGAAGGTAAGCCTATTAATATTATTTACGGTGGCGCTTCGGACGACCTAAAAATGATTAATGTAATGTAAAAATGTAAGGGGTTTTCTCGCCACAGAGAAAACGGTTCCTTACGAATGGCGCTGGTTACGGGCGGTTTTCGAGCGCCACATTTTTGGTTATGGTTTACTCCACAAACTCGGAGTCGAAAGTACTCGGGTAGCTACAGATGGAGATGAAAAATTACAGGGGTCAAAGGTCACTTAGACACAGGTAATGGTAGGCCACAAGTAACGGGCTTTAATCGTTGCTTGGGCTGGTACAGAATTTATCACTGGCTAAAATACAAGGGGGGAAATAAAGTATGGAATTAGTAACCAGTAATACGGCAAGTTAATATTGACACATATATTGTGAATAACTATTTACACAATAAAAATATTAAAAATTATATATTTTAACGCCCACCCTCGTTGCAATGATAGTCAATATAACCCTGAACAAACAAAACAAAAAAAGACGGACGGTATTGAATCCCGACTAGTCTCAATCAGACGTCAAAATTTAATTAAAATAAAATGAGTGTTACGGTCGCAGAAAAAATTATTAACTTGAGTATTTAGTCGGTAATTAAACTAAAACATAATTTTCCATTTCGGTAAGGAAAAATTCTAAGAGCGGTCGTAGCAAAAATTAACTATTAAACTGTCGTATCGGGAATTAAATTAAAATGTAAGTACTTTACTATTTCGGTAAGGAAGAATTATCTAAACGGTCGCAGAGAGTGCGAAGAGAACTACTTGTAGTAAATATTCGAAAAGGAAAAATAATAAATTTATACCCGGGGTAGCCTATTATCCCAGAATAAGCTGATCGTCGTCACGAGCCCGCTCAGACAGGGTAATGAAGCTATTTAAGATTTCCTTAATTTGCAATTTGCACGAAAAAAAAAATAAAGAATACAAAGGGAAAAAGAAAACTAACGCGGATAGTACCTAATCCAAGGATGAGCTGATCGTCATCACGAGCCCACTCAGACAGGGACAGGATAGTATTTAAGATTATTTAAATTGACGGTGAAAGAGAAAACAAAACTATTATCAGAGGGAAAAAAACTACTAAAGCAGATAGTACCTACTCCACGAATGAGCTGATCGTCACCATGAGCCCGCTCAGACAGGGACAGGATAATATTTAAGAATATTTAATTTGCGGTTTGCACATTGACTAAAAAAAATCAACGCGGATAGCACCTAATCCAAGAATGAACTGATCGTCATCACGAGCCCACTCAGACAGGGACAGGATGCTATTTAAGATTATTTAAATTTGCGATAAAAGAATAAACTAATTAATAAAAGAGGGAAAACGTCTCCTCGAAAACTCTGTTTCTATATATTCCCAAGTTATTTATAACGCGGCACTAACTAAACAAAAGTATTTATCAATGAAATCAAATTTAATTCCCGACTTAACCTACCAAAAAGAAAAGTTTAATTTCTTAAGTCAGACTAACTATCAAATGTCTGAATCAACGGTATTACAATTTTAAAGAACTAAATCCTATCATTTATTATTTAAATAAAATTCAATTCCCTTTAAAGAAACGGTATTCTATCTTTAAAGAGCTGACTTCTAATATTTATTAATTCAAATTAAATCTTTCTCCCAACAGTATTTTTAAAAACGGTATTATATTTGCCAAGAAATAAATTATATTTATTAATAAAATTAAATTATATCTTTTAACTCAACATTGAATTAAAATGTTCCTATTTCTAAAAGATAACTCGGTTTTTAAATTAAATACGGTCTCAATATAAAACGTTTCTTCTATAAAAATATGAAAGTAAAAACGAAACAAGGTTTTTTTACCTAACAGATTTATAAACACGATACGAAAAATTTATCGACGGCTGACCTAATTGAGAATGCGGCTTTTACTTTTAACTGGCTGAAATCAAGTGTATCTCCAAAATCTTTTAATTCGCGATGAAAGCGAGAATAATTCCCACTCTTCGACAGTACCATCGCGCATCGAAATGTCGAACGGCAGTGCGTAGCTGTTTTAGCCCAGGACCTACATTTCAAGCGCGTTTAATATTTATTATAAATGAAAAATTAAAATAAACCGATTGAGGAAATATTGACTTCATTACAGTGCCATTTGACTTACATCAAATCCTCGAAATAGCCATGCTAATAAATTCACATGATCTTCTGTTGGATTCGAAGCCAGTGTTTCTTTAAGGCCAAAATTGCTTGCCAATGAATTCCTTCGATCCAATATCTAATAATAAATAAGCACAAAGCGATATGTCACTTTTTGTGTAACATATGGTATTGTATTTATTTATTTTATTTTAGAATTAATAGTATCCATTGTTATTTATTTTAAGACCTTTACACTAGTTAGCTCAAGTTATTTAAATTGCGATGGTAATGCCAGTTTGAAGGTTTGTATTATTTTTTTACTTTGGGGTATTTTCTTATGTTTATTTAATTTCTATCAATTTTAAATAATTTTTACCAATGTTTTATCGTTTTTGCAATTTTTGTTGTTTTTCTATCGTTTTAGCAGCTTTTTTTGATATAGTTAAAAAAAATAGATAAATATATAGTGGTTGTAAAAAATTACTATTACATTAACAGAATTAATATCATCTATTTTTGTCGATTTGTGGAACTTTGCCCAAATTAACGCAAACTCGTCACTTCCGTCTAATACAAATTTCAAATTTTTTTCACCGCGAACTTCAAACTTTAGATGAAACATTTATATAATTTATTTATAATTAACACTTAACACCTCTTCTGCAGATCATTAATAACTCTTGTCCTTCGGTATATTCTGTGAATGCTAAGTAGATACTACTTTTTTAACTGTTTTATATTATAGAAGTCATTAAAATAAACATCGTGTTAAAACAACTTTTACAAAAAACTCAAAATTGTGAAAAATAAAAAAATATGAAAACTCTGTCATGTTTTTTACGGTTTTTTCTTATAAATCACGATTCATCGTGTACCCCTTATTTTATTGTAATTTAGTCGAGTGTAATTTTATTAGCGTGTTTATCTAAATTAGTGGATTTAAATTATTTAATATGGTAAACTAAACATGAATTGTGTTAACAAGAACACATTTTAAATGTTTTTAAGGAATATTAAACAAGTACGTGGGTGATTGCAGATCAAGTGAGAGTAAGTCAAAGAAAGGTCTAGACAACATTGCGGGAAAATCCGTTGTATCCTTTTCACCTTCGAAGTGTTTAAGCACTACAACTTAAAGATGTCTCCTCTGTTTAGTTTTTTGAATTGTTCTTCATTTGTCGAATAAATTATTGTTAAATTCTTATTTTTGAGTTCTTTGTTTTAAATTGTTCTTTAATGACTTTTATGCACAGTTAAAAACATATCAACTTAGGATTCACCCTGTAAAAAAACATAATGCTACTGAAATTAAACAAAAACCGCAAATTGCACTCACCTTCGACCACCAGAAAAAACCCCTTCGGGTTTTTGAGCAATATGGAGAGCGCAGAGCGCGTCATATCTGCAAGGGAGGGGTCCCCAGTGGCCCCAGGGTCGCGATCGGCCTCGAAGTCCATGTGAGAATAGGAAAACAACCCTGCGGACAAACATTTGCAAATAGATTAGTCGTAAATTGAACCTAGCATCGTCGGAGATGCACGAGATTATATTATTACGTAATGTTTGAATTTGCGATGCAAGATTTCGCATTGCATAATTACGTTATATCGTGTTGATTATTTACTATGTCGGCGAGGATTAGCTCTAACTTTGCCTTTGTGCGATTGCTTATTTCGCACCCTTAATTGGGCGTTTGAAATCTAAACCGAGATTAACCCAGTTTCTTTTACGATATTGATTTTTAAATAAAAATAGAAACATAATAAATAGTAGAAATTTTCAAATAGAACCTTGCACTAGGTAATACATTTTTAATAGGTCAGGATTACAATACAAAAAATATTATAGTCTAATCAACAAGTTCAAAAGCGTGTTTTTGGGACATACTACTACGAAAATTATGTTCAATAGCTCATTCGATTCGGAATAATGTCTAGCCCTTTCGGTCATACTGTATTCAATTGTATACATCGACTTTTTTATTTTTCCTAAATAAACTCAAGAGTTGTACATCTATCTCTTAATATTCTATGGTATAGTACACCTATAGATATTTGATTTAGCACATGTAGCGATATCTACATATTATATGGCGAACGTTATAAATATTTGTAAATGTCAGATCAGATGTGATTTAGGAGACACGTTGCAGAGTAATTTTTAATTGCCTAATCGAGGAAGTTCTGTGAATCACTGTGACTTTATATATTGTGGAATAAGGTTAAAAAACATTGCATTTTTACCTGATAAATTTATTTGATAGGTATTTTTTGTGATTTCTCCATAAACATTTTTAGAAAAGTGCTGTATTCAAATGAATACATTGTGACTCAAAGGACCGATTAGAGATGGTAAGCATATTTGTTTTTTTTTTTTATTTTCTTTATTGATTTGGTATTTTTATTGAAGGCTTCAAAATTCAATAAAAGAAAGCCTTTGACTAACGAAGAGCTGCTGGATCTCATTGAAAATGGGTTGTCAGACATCGAATTTTTAAGCGATGATGACGATGAAGTAGAAGGGGTGGGGGCCGATATTTTTGACGAAAGTGAGGATGAAGGGCTGGAAGTTGGGCAAATGGCTTCAGAACCCCTTTCCGAGGAAGTTGATGAAACAATAGTCGAAATGGATCCAGATACTGAAGTTGCAGCTCTTGAAGGAAATATTGATGTTCCAATGTATGACGCAACTGAGCAAATGGAACTACCCAGAGAGAGAAAACAGAAAGAAAAAAAAGAAAAAGAAGCAAGGATTGAAGTTTTTATGAAAAACAATAATTTGACGAAAAAGACAGATATAATTTGGATAAAGGATGCTACTTATATTTCTCCAAATGTCGATTGGTATGAAAAAAATATTCCATGTGATTCGGATGAACTAGAAAGTCCTTATTATTTTTTTGAAAAATATTTTTCTGATGCTTTATTTTCACTTATTATTGAAAACACAAATTTATTTGCGCTTCAGCAACAAACTAAATTTGCTCCCACAAATATAGATGAAATCAAAACTTTTGTAGGGATACACATAGTAATGGGTAATTGTCATTTTCCAAGAATAAGATGTTACTGGCAACCAAATTGCAGCATTCCTATAATTTCAAACTCTATGCCTATAAACCGTTTTTTCAAATTACGACAGCATACTCATTTTGTGAATGTTGAGGAAAAACCAGACAACAATGACAGATTATGGAAGATAAGGCCATTGTATGATGCTATTAGACAGAGATGCCTTTCCCTACCTTTAGAAACTGATCTCTGTATCGATGAGCAGATGATTCCCTTCAAAGGAAGCCTAAATATAAAACAATATATCAAAAATAAGCCCACCAAATGGGGTATAAAGGTACTAGCCCTATGTGGACGAAGTGGAATATTGTACGATTTTGTAATTTACCAAGGTGTAACGACAGAATTTATTCCCGAGCACATCGAAGTTTTTGGTTCATCTGGTGCAATTGTGACGACATTGGCACAGCGTATCATCAATCCCAATGTTCGTTTATATTTTGACAATTTCTTCAGCAATTATAACGTATTACAATATTTAAGAAACAAATCTATATATGCCTATTGTACCGCTCGTATTGACAGATTTAAGTCTCCGCCATTTTCATCTGATAAAATTATGAAAAAAAAGAGGCGCGGTTCTTTTGAGGAAGTCATAAGCAAAGATGGTATAATTATGACTAAATGGTTTGACAACAAAAGCGTGATACTTGCTTCAAATTATAGAGGTGTGGGAATGCCAGATACCTGCGTACGTTGGGACAAATCAGAGAAACAATATAAAGATGTTCCATGACCGGAAGTGGTAAAAGAATATAACGATTGCATGGGCGGAGTCGATAAATTAGATTTTCTTATCACATTATACCGGACGTTTATAAGATCACGAAAATGGACTATGCGTATGTTTACTCATGCAATAGATATCGCCTGTGCAAATGCTTGGCTGGAGTACAAAGAGCAAGCCAGTCGTTTAGGTATTTCTAAAAAAGATGTTCTGGATCTTCTTGGTTTTAGGGCTTACGTTGCAGAAGTACTAATAAAAGCCAATAAAACACCAGCAAGGAAAAAGGGACGTCCATCATCTGCTACCTCCAACCCACCAAGTCCCGCTCCCCCCTCTCCATCGACTTCTAGAGCTACCGAAATAAGACCAGTTTCGGAAATTCAGTTTGACCAACTTGGTCATTTTCCCAATTTTGATTTAAAAAAATTTGCATCTAGATGTAAAAATCTAGATTGTAAGGGACAAACTCGAGTAATTTGTATTAAATGCCAAGTACACTTATGTTTAAATAAAGAAAAAAACTGTTTTCTGAGTTTCCATGTCAAATAAATGTGATATAAAATAAAATCTAAAAAAAAAACAGTATTTTTTGCACCAACCTCTTATACCTTTAAGTCACAATGTATTCAATTGAATACATGCTATAACTCGGAAACCTGTAATATATATTTTTTTTTTCTTTTTACCAAAAATCAATAAAAAAATCATTCTTTTATAGTGCCAAAAATCAGATTTTTCCTATGGCTAGAAAAAATGCGTGACTGAAAGGGCTAGATCAATGTGTGAAGAAAAAATTTAAACACCTCAAAAACATGGTGTTTGGTTTTTCGCCTATAGTTTGTAAACTATAAATATTTTTGAATTTTTCAAAAAAGATCCTTAAAGAGGAGGAAATTTGCTATAAATAAGTTCTGACTTCCCGAACTGTACCTCCATTATTTATAATTTTAATTTAACGCTCAAAGTAGCCTTCCGCGCGCCATTTTTAGGTTGCGCGCACGGCGTCGAAACCGAGTACGTTACATAAAATAATTTTTTTAAGTAAATAAAATTAAATTCAAAAATTTAAAAAAATTACGGTGTATTCTAAACACTTAGAAGAATCCATTCCCATTGGAATTTTTCATAAAAATTAATTTTCCAACAAACTAGGTTATTGTTAATTAACAAAATTTTTAGAATTTCTCTCATCATTACAAATTGATAAAAATATTAAATAATGACCGTACATTTTTTTTGCTTCGTGGAGCTCTTTCTATATACATATAAAACAAAATAGCTTCATAAAAGTTTAAAAAATGTTAATACTTTGTTTATAATAATTTTTTAAACTTTACAAAAACAGAAAAGTCACAGTGGTGCTATAAAAATAATTTTTTTTTCAATTTATTATAATATTACTATTTTAATGTCGAGAAAAGATTAATTAAAAAAAAATTTTTCTTCTCCACTTCTTTACAAATTTTTTATAAACATATGGAGTATTTCAATTTTTTTCAAATTTTTTTTTACAACTTTCTAGACAATTGCCAATTATGATTTAAAAAAAAAATGTTTTCTTAATAATAACTTTTAATTGTTTATAATCGTTTTTTTAATATATCTATTGTTTAAATTATTAGTTAAGAAATGTGTTTTTTTTAATTAAAATTGACAGTCCTCTACAAAGTGACAGCAAAAAAAAAATTTTTCTTCAAGCGTATAATAATAATTACATTATATCAAGGTACACGTGTTGTAGAAGTAGCCTATTTTTATACTAGTACAAATATTTTTCATTTTTGTACTAGTATAAAAAAGCACAAACCTAAAGTTAAATGGCTTATTATGAACGTTGCAATCAAATAGGCTGGAACTGTCATTTGAGTACTTATTTAATTTGACGTTTGTCAGTGTATGATTTAGAATATAAAAAAATAGTGTTAACCCCATGTTAACCCGTTCGTTATACCTGTGTCCTGTGTTTTTCAAGTAAAAAGAAAATATCAGAAGAAATGCAATCAACCTCCCGAATTGCTAGAAATAGCGAAATCTTCCATAGAAACCTTAATACCTACGAAATCGAAGAAAGTTTACGATTATGCTTACACAAAATTTGTGAAATGGAGTGAAAAAAATCACGTACATTTTTATTCAGAAAATGTTCTGATCGCATATTTTACTAATTTGTCTGAAAAATTCAAAAGTTCAACAATATGGTCGCAGTATTCAATGCTGAAATCAAAACTAAATATTAAACATAATGTAAAAATTGAAAACTATTCAAAATTAATTGCCTTCTTAAAACGAAAAGGTGATAATTACAAACCGAAGAAGTCAAAAGTTTTTTTTAAACAGGAGTTTGATAACTTTCTTAAGAATGCACCAAACAAGACATATTTAGCAACTAAGGTAGGTACATAATTTTTTTTAAACTGTTATTTAGTTTTACAGATATTCTATTAATTTCAGCTTTTTTATTTTAATTTTTTTTATCCATACTTTTATTTAAATGCTTGAAGAAAAAATAGTATATGTCACTCGGATTAGAAGGCCCATTATGTTTCGCCCAAAATTCTGGGCTCAACATATAATGTTGGCCTTCTACTCCTAGTAACATAATATACTATTTTTATTATTAATTCCATTGTATATTAAGTTTACAATTTGTTATAAAAAAATTCCCAACTTTGGTTTATT